ATTTTTGCAGGTTGGTAATTTAAATATTAAATTATAAATAATAAATAATATATAGCCGTAATGTGTACTCAGCAGATAATGTACCTACAATAATAAGTAATAACTAATAACTATATTTTAGGGTGGGTGGTGTAAAAATATTAAACGTGATTCGAGGGAAAAAAAGTTTAAGCCGCCACTAGTTATTGGTATCTAAATACTCCAGTTAACTTATAGTTTTTACTATATATTAACTCACAAATTTATAATAGTTAGGTATTCATAATTTGTTATGATATTTATTTTATGAATTCAGTATTTTTTATTTAATTTTCTTTTAACATTAAAGATTAGAAAATGTTTTTAATATAATAATGTGGTACTCCCATAAATTACAATTTTCAGATACATTTTTTTTTTGCTTTTTCATAATCCTCTATTATTTTTAGTTAAAAGAAACTGAATGACAATACACATTTTTATGTTCAAATGTATTAAAATAAATCAATTATAGTTTRGCTTTCAAGATATTATAATAAAGAATTATGTGTATAAACCACTTCACATTTAGCACATCTATTTTTTATTTATTTGAAAACATTAAGAAAGCAACTTTTTAATACATTTGTATAGTAATTATTTTTATTTTTCAAATATTTCAAATTTATGGTAACCAAGATCAGTATGTTTAAAGTAAGTTGTATACAGCATTTTTAAAAGTATATACATAATTATGTTAAGATAATATGTATTTGCACCATTCAAAAAATAACATTAAACGCTTAATCCAAAGAAACTATGATTATTAAAATAATAATTTATTATGATTGGTAGGTACCTAAAGCCATATACTTTTTAGGAATATTATTGTCTGCACAAGAGCCTACAAAACACAACATTATAATATTGTTATTAAAAAAATAAAAATGTACATACCATGTTTGCAAAACTTGATTGTTCTAGTAGATAATTTATCTGAATTAGTTTCCACTGGCAAAAGTGTGTAGACAGCACTGTCTTTTGCAAGAATTATTTTCGGCATTTTCACAGGAATCCGTGTTTCAGTTACACAATTCTGAAATATTAATAGTTTAAAATCAGTTTTACAAATTATAAATTGACCCCACAAACTAAAGATATACCTATAAATGAACAATGATCATTCGTGGTAGGAATTTTAAGTTAGGAAAGAAGGTAAGGTAGGAAAATGCATGATTAACTAACTAGTTAGTTAATTATGGGAAAACGTTGGTAGAAAAAAAATTGAAGAGCTTCATAGCGAAAAACTGGAATACATAACGAAATAAATTATTCTGTCATGCTGGAATACAAATAAGAATATGATATAATATGATATCAATTATTTTACTTTTGATATMCAGTTCAAGGCCATTATCAATAAACGATAAGGGCCGTTTCAAATGGACGCGTATGCTAAGCGTCTTATTTTCCTAATGATAAAAATGTTTTTAAAACGTATTTGTTTCGCATAAGGTATAATATGATTCTCAAATACGGTTAGGTACGATTGTACCAATGGCTTAAATTTTTGTGAATATATTTTCTTTAATATTTTATTATGAGAATTTATCATTCGAATTAGAAAATCTGTTTATTAGTGGAAGTAGAGAGCTATTCACTAAAGTCACGAATCACAAGTAAAATAGTCAATAAAAATATTCAAAATTATAACCTATTATCAACGATATTCGGTTGATGATAAATTTATTCGTTAGATTAATCTTTATTCGATGGAAATAGTACCGAATAACTATTCCATGATTTATCTGTCAAATAAAYACTATCTGGACATTGAAAAACCGAAAATTATCAATTTGTTCTTATCTGTCAGACAACTCCAGTTAGGTATCTGGCGGATAAATGTGATTATTTATAAAAGTACAGATAATTTAAATCGAATAATGAATAAATTCTATGTTCTATTAAATAAGTTGTATATTCGAATTATGAAGATTGCGGTTTGTTAGGTACCCATTTAGTGGACAAATGATATCACCCAAAACCTTGCTCGTTTTTTACAAAACAAATACAATTATAAATTGTAATAATATAATACACTTTATTCTTAATTTTAAAATGTTTTCATAATAGTATAAGTAATCAATGTGCAAAATATATTATTGATTATAAAATGCAAAATAGGACTATCTTAGTTCATGCTGTCCACAGAAT